GGCAACACACATCAATCTCTAGACTTTCGAGCGTACGAGCTAAACCTGCTTGTTGTCCTATACGCATTAGAGTTCCTACGTTGAATGAAGCCAGTTTGAACGTAGAGTGAGGTCGGAGGAATGGAACGGATGGTCCCGAGACAGATGTCAAGGGGGATAGCGGCGAGCTACAACATGAACCTACGTTAGTGGAACCATTCGGGGTGGGGCAAACAGTAGAAAAAGTGGGGGTATTGTGTGAGGGGTGGGTGAGAGTGTTGCGTGCAGATGTTGAGAGAAAGGTTTGCAGAGGTGTAATAATCTGTGACATGCGTGTATTTGTGTGTTCACAGTCCATGGTTAGTTTGTGGGCGTGGTACTACCCGGTTGCCCAGGCCGAGGTAGAGGGTTTTCTTGGGGGACCCTACCCGGAGCCTTTGGTTAAAGAACCTGACCCGTAAGGCAGTGGGGTGGAGTAGGGAGTCCACGATCCTCTGGGAGCCGGTGACGAGGGGGGGGGGGNAGTTCATACGCCTTTCGGATGCGGCCAACTATCCAGGGTACCCAAATTGCCCTTGAGCCTCGCACTTGCCGGTGAACATCACAGTGGTCAACTCCAAAGATTAACTTTGGAGACCGGTTCGGTTGCGTCGAAGATTGGTGCTACTATAAGCTTCTTACGCCAGGTGTTGGTGGTTTGGAATCAGGGTTTAGCCAACTCCCCTAGACTGACTACCAGTGGTCAGTCAACCCGGTGGAAAGCGCCGGGCGTTCGCTTTTACCCTCCCGCTTTAGTGTTAGTGTGTAGAGAGAAGATTGGAATGTTGTCAGAGGTGACCAGTCGGACTCCACTATTCTGTCCGTTATGCTAGTTTTCATCAATTGAGTAACGCTGAGAAGAGACCTGCAACTTCCAGCGGTAGATTTCGGTCCAAATTCATTTGCCATTGGTTTTGCAGGAGTTTTCACAAAGAGATAGACTTTCTTTAACATTAATAAAACGATTTAATTTCAGTGGGATTCATTTTTTGACGGACGCAGAATCAATCAACTGGATCTTACGTGAATGTTCCCTTTACAGTATGCTATTTGCCCATGGGATTTCCTCGTTTACTGTAACTCGCATTGTGTAATAAAAAACCTGATTATTGAGTGGTTTCATACTTTAGCCAGCAGATTGGACCCGACAGCCATCTCCCAAATTAGTTGAGCAATGTTCAAAGTTGCATCATCCAGTGTAATTGATGTTTGGTATAAAGCGATCCTCACTACATTGCCGTGAATACAAAATTTGCATATGGGTCAAAAAATCGACGTTTGCATAAATGACAATAGAGGAACTAGAAGCTTACCTAAAATTTCAAAGGTGTACGATGAGGTTTGACTTTTTCTGTCAAGCGATATTTGATGGCAGGAATAATATCTACGGCCGAAACGACGTTGCAGTGGTGTTATTGGGTAAATTTTGTTGGAGACTTTCGAATGTTGAGCCATATAATCGCAGTGAATTATCATATTTCCTAATATCTTCTAAAAAGGTGTTCCATTCCAATACGTCTTCTTTATGTTTAGTAAGTTGGCTTGTTGCGTTCACTGTGCGCAATGCTTTTGCTTCTGTATTTGAAAATTATCCTTTCTTTATCGATTTATTGATTTACAGGGTACTCTAAAAGGTCTTCTGGGCATCATATGTGATGCCACATCTACTCACGTCATGCTCGAGTTACACAGCCAATTTCGAAAGGTACCGGTTGCACGAGAAAATGTGGCGCTTCTTGACAGCGGTGGACGCATTATTGACACACAATACGCTGCAACTACACCACGTATCACACCTATGCGCGAAATGCGTACACCACAGGTAAGCCGAGAATTTTGATGTTGATTGCACAGCATATCTTGTGGCTGAATCTCGTGTGTCACTCTCCCTACGCGAGACATCTCTTTCGGTTTACTTTTGCTGAAATGTTAAGATTGTGTTCCGCTCTGTTCTTCGCAGGCTTTGCTAAGGATGCTCAGTTGCCCGTCGAGCTTTACAGTTCAACTGCAACACTCATCAGCAGTCGAGATAACACTTATTGTCCCGGTAACAACACTGAGAATATTATTTTGCCTGGTGATGAAATATTTGCAGTAATGTGAGTATCGACTCATAAAAATGATCCACACTGGTAATAAATATGTGGAATATCGAAGATACAGAACATGCAATAAAAATCATTTTTTTTAACGAGAAGGTACAATATGCAGCTGAAAAGATGCTGAAGTTCAAATGGTGGTTGTTCTTCCTGTTTGTCTCTGTTTGTCTTCCTGTTTGTTGCCAGTCTCACAAGCATATTAGAGGAGTTGTGATTTTCTTCTAAACAGCTTGGTAAGGGGTTGTATAAATTGAACATAATAGCGCCCACGGGAGAATCGTTATCCTATGAAATTATTCTTTCGTAGTTTTTTGGTTATATACATTATGTTCAGATATGTGTTCGAATTGGAAGTATTTTCTTCAACTCTGGCGAATCAGCACTTGAAGGGTAAGTTCGATATTCGTCCGTAGGCATTGTATAAGTACCACCAAGTTAGATTTAACATGCATAGGATTACTTTCCGTAGCAATCTTTAGTTGAAGTTTTAAGTGAAAGCACTTGATGAAAACAGTCGAAGTTATTATTGGCCTCNAGGAATAAATCGCATCAATACGTCATTCAATAGTTCTTAGTTGAGCAGCGTTACGGAGAGTATCACTGTTAACCTTGGGGATTTTCGTGTCAGGTCCACTAATTTGTTTCGGCTCATGTTCCGCGCCCGGGATAAACATTAGTCGTATTCCGAGAACAATTCCTCCTCGGTAAACAAAATGCTAGAGGACTTGATGCAATATTGGGAGCGATAAACACAATGAACAGNAATGAACAGCATGAGTTTCATTAACGTATCGAGTTTTCGAGATATTCAAAAGAGGAGCAGACTAAGCTGGTGATTTCTGAGAAAGGAACCGATTGTCAGGCGCACTGCTTTGTGAGACACAAAAGCATGTACAAAAGCATTCATTTTCATATCTGGAAAGTGAACATTGCTTTCTCAAGCGTAAGAACATACTGCAATGCAACAAAAATTTCACGGCTTTATACATATATATATATATATATATATATATATACCATCGGATTAAGCAGAGCTGAATGCTATCAGGCACGTCCCCTGGTTGTAGATAGGGGGATACCTTCATTGAAGAAGGTTAGCTGTGAATAAGTTGTGGCAAACCGCAACAAATAAGTAGTCGCGAACAGACAGTGGTGGCACTACCCGGGTGTGATGGGTTTCAGGTTGGTCATCTGGCTCCTGTTTAAAAGCCGCATAAACCCAGTGACAGTGTTGCGACAGAGGTCGGTGTGACTGGCCTTTTAAAACTAAAGTCGTTGACCCACCCCCTCACGTCCAAGGCGGGGGATTACTTCCTGCTGCCTTGCGGTTTGCACGTGGTTGTACAAAGGCTAGAGGTGGGCCCTCAAAATAAACGCCGAGTGACGCTGGGGACGTCTCGTACCAAACTCCCAAGTAACTTCATGATCATGTCTTCTACGGCAGCAATCAGAGATATTCATGGAGCCGGCTTATCCTTTCCAAGGAGCCATTCTAAGTGAAGTAAAGTAAATCCAGGGCGAAGTAGGGTTTGTTCACCCGAAACGTTCGGCTGAAAATCAAGAGCTGCAAAGCATTGGGATGAAGCTCATAGTTAGCTATCCATTTGGGGCTTTTGTCCAGATCTTCGAATCATATGGTCATTCGACAGGATCAAACGCTCAAGATGCTCATTGCATCGGGATTCCCAATGAAACCAGTGATTAGTGCCACAAATTGGAAACTGCAGGTATTGTTCCTATCCGCCTCTTTGGCTTGATTGAAGTCAAGTTTTCCTTGGTAAATCTCGTGGCTAAACTCTCGGTGGTCCACTAGCGCTGATAAATACCGTAATGTGAGCTTTTTGTTCTCTTACCTTGATGGTGAAGTACGACCCTGTGAAAGCAGCCATCAGGGGTTTTTCACCCAGCACTGAGGAACTTCGTCGTATACGCCCATTTCACGAGTTACTAGCTGAAGGTAACAGAAAACACTCACCGCCAGCCTTGCTGAAGCCTAGGCTTTCGGAGGAATCATGAGAATCATAAGGATATAACACTCAAGAAGGCAGTTTGATTAAATCGAACAGTGGCCATGAAATGCTTCTGGGCAGGAAGAAATTGTAAATCATGATATGTGATATGCTATGAACATAAGTATTTGTACCTTAACCCCAATTTGTTTGTTTCCAGGCCAGTGTATAGTAGATAAATTCTGAATTTCTCATGAATACCTTTGTTCCACATTCACTTTTAACAGATCGCCTACGGCGCTCAGACTCCACATGCGGCTAGCACCACTCCGCGTGGTGATAGCACTCCGCTTCCGAACAGTTTTAACGCGGGTCTTGCCACTCCCAGGCTGAGCAATTTGGATGATCCCATGACACCAAGTTCAAGTAAGTTTCAGTTATCTCATTCTCACTTGAATCCTTCAAACAATCGATTGTTTTAAACACAAATTGAGTTTCAAAAATGTTGTCCCGTGTCATTTATGCGTTATTTTAATTGGGTGGTATCCATGACTTGTTGGATTTGCGGCAGCAGGCAGATTCCAAAACTCTAGGTCTCCTTGCGTTGTGCATTTAAAAGATGTATATGCTGAGTTCCTGAAGATCCAATGCAACAATAATACGATCCCGTCGTGTTGTAAGATCCAGTATACTTCCTTATTCGCATGCAGTTACAGTTTGATGCATCCTGGAGCGTTCCATCATCACATGTACGCACTAAGGCTGGTTAATTCGATGTATCGTAACCTCAGCGGTTTAGCCAAAGCTTTATTTTAGCAGACTTGAAATACATTGAACTATGAACATAAAAAATCATACGACAAATTCAAACGAATGTGGACAGGCAATTGCGGAATTACGTGTGTGCATCTGCATGCGTGCGGTCCAAACTGCAGATGGCATGTGAATAGAGAATTGGTTGGGAGAGGAGACGTCTAAAGACCACGAAATAGACACAATAACGAAAAGAAAAGGAATACTTCCGTTGTGTTATAAAACCAAGAATCCGGGTATGTGCAAAATCGATATTGGTCAACGCTTTAACAAAACAGACATGGAAGTTCAAACAAGTCATTCAGTGAAGCCGGGAAAGGACAGGTTAACTTGAGCGCCTAGAAATAGGGTTGAGGTTGAGCGGGTTGTTGCACTTGCGAAGGAATGGAGAAGAATAACCATCGGCAAAGTACTTTGCTATCCAACTAACCCACCTACAGAAATCTCTAGTATACTTCCATGAAGTACGTGTGTAAAGTGTCGATCCGTACTTCTTGTTCCAATCTCACCATTACAGTCCAACGTAATTCTTCATGACCTCTGATAGCCTTTATGTAATGAGCAGCGAAATATCGCCCAATTACCACAATGGCTTCCTGCCACGAAGTATATTGCATAAATTTGATCTCTAAGGTTACTTTGCAAATATGTTCAACTTATTTTTTCTGTGTGACTCTCCACAGGTTTCTTGTGGTCATCGAACAACGACTTACATCGTATGTCCGGTTCTTTGTCAGACACTGAATGAAGCGCTGTATATGCTACTACGATTCCTTCCTGCAACTCATTCTCCGCACCAATCCGCTCTTTCTCTTGACGACCATGTGCATGTACGGTGTCCTATCACTGATTGATCGATATCGTATATATGGTTCAGTAGCACTTCTGTGCTTCATTCGAAATTTGTCTCATACATACTTTACTCTCATGTGTTCTTTTTTACGAAAAAATTGTCTCCAAGGGGGATGCGAACTTATCAGAGACCATGTTTTAGTGGGATAAAGTCAACCGTTTCAATAGAGAAGTAGGGTTTGTGCTAGTGCTAGTGCATTTCTCTCCTAAGTGCATTATGCGATCCAATTTTGGCAAACTGAGGGAAATACCCTGGATCTTCCTCTGTACTGAAATTTGTTTTGGTCTGAATTCATCTCATCTGATTGTCAATAAATTCAGATGCTTTGTACTATTTAACGTAGACGATGTCATGAATAGTATGTTTGAGTTGTGCAAAAGAACGTGACTAGCTGTTTCTCTCAACGGTCAACAATAAACAAGACCTCTCAAGGCGAACCACTGTGTTCAAAAGGTATCTACGGAAAATGCGCATCTACCGTTGGACCGTTCCACTCATTATCCCGTGTGCTTGTGGGAATTCGGAAAACTGGTTGCAAATGAGACATTTTGTGGTATATATACCAATTTACCGATATCCTTAAAGTTATTCGTCCCGGTACCGCCTAGTGGAAGTGTAATAATAGGACTCGTCGAGAAGTTGAAGATGAGCTGGGATGCTTTCTACTCACTAAATTTTTTTTCGCTTGTACCGTTTCCCTGTGCTTTGCCATCTCTAATCCCTGTTGTGAGCTGAGTATCCCCATATATCACAGCTATATCATGAAATCTGTTTTCCAGTCTGTCTTTATGTGGCAGATAACACGTAGCGCGTCTCAATTATACTGGTGTGAGATGTTGGAAGTATTACATTCTTCCATCCAATGAGTATTCCCGCATAAATGTGGGAACATCCGTTGTGGTGTTAGTGTAAGTCACCTGATAAAGTTGATAATTATTACATCACCAGTCTTATCTCTCATTGGGTTAGGGTCAAAAGGGAGGCAGCTTGATTATCGATCAGTTTCATTCAAACGAATCACCTGATTTGGGTTGTCTTCATTCGGAGTACCTGTCATAGGCTGTTCAACCATGTCGCGGTATGTATCTAATTCCCGAATTCCTCCAGTTAACGTCTGTCAAGAAATACAAAACTACCGTGGACGTGAAATTAATGAGGAACTTGATGTTGTTGTTCCACCATACCTGTTTGATCGAAGAATTTTGAGGAGTATTGAGTTGAAAAACATGAATTATCTTCAGAGTTATATTCGTCAGTGTCCGCGTAACATTGAACGTTATTTTTTTCTTGAAACCGTTTCTTCAATATCACCAATTATTCGAAGCATCGTTGTAAGCAATTTATTGGGCTACGCTTTTCTATATCGCGCCACTCCTTGTGTGAAATACCTTCTGGAGTTGGGGTCTGACCCTTTTCAACCGGCCTATTTCATCGATTGGGCCTCTTACAATGAAAATCAGAGAAAGGTTATGCTCTACGAAGCTCCTAACATCATACTTATATCTGGCAGTATTCACGAAAACCATCGGGCCGATTGTATATCTATGCTCTCGTTCTTACGATCCATGGATGTTGAACTACATTTACCGATCACATTAAGAAGACAACAATTCGAATCACCTAACGAACCTGTTTCTGCAACTGTCCGCTACAACGACACCTGGGAATGTTGGGAAAAAGAAATTGAGAAAAGAGGTGGCGAGGATCTTGCGAAGAGTAAAGGTTTCATGCGCGAGTTAAAGACGGTGTATCGGGCTAATAAATTCGAAAGATTGAATTCGCCGAAGAATTGAAAACCTTTTGGTTGGTTTCCTTCTCACGTAACATATTTGGTTGCGCAATCTGTCCCTTGCGTCCTTTGGGTCTATATTAAATATTGTTTTCGACAGTCTTTGGAGTTTTTTGCACCTGTATGTAGACGGTATGGTTTTACTGCTTTGATCGTCACGATAACTGACTAAAACGCGTAGAAATACCGTGTTGCACGATTGATGCCATGGACAGTTTTGCCACACCTCACTTAGCGCTTGAATGTTGCAAACATGTATTCTTTACATAGGCGACAAGTGACAACCAAACCGAATGCCTATTTGTTTTCCCTCATATTTAATCACAAAACGTCCACTGTCGGGTTGAAAAAATTGAATGACTATCACACTTGGTAATGATATAAAAATTAATAAAAAGTTGGTAATCTGCGTGGGTTGGTATTAAGTTCATCTGTGAACCTTTTCGTCCTTAGCTAAAATGCGGGATGGATGGGGTACTTTTGAATTACGACAAACACGTACACGGGTTGCTACGTAGAAATCAGATCATATATATATTCCAAATGAGAGACGGCCTGATTAGCTGCCGGGTGTCCAAGTGGCCAGAATGCTTGCGTTCTACCCGTTAGGTCCCGTGTTCGATCCCCAGTCGATGGATTCACACTGACGATGAGACCCAATCAGGTGGAAACAGCTGTCCAGTGCTTTTCAGCTCACGCCTAATTTGCACGATGAATTCATCACAAGGTCAGATATTAGCGTTAATGGATGACTTTTCTTTATTCAGGGGATTTAGCACTGTTTTGGCGTTAGGTAATATTCAGCTCAGCCCCATAGAAGGTTCGAGGCTTTTCCAAATAGGACCGTCACTGTTATCTACCTTCGATGGAACAAATGTTCTGGTTTTCTGGATGCCGACTTAATGGATTCATTCGAGTCCCTTGTTTTGCCTTGTTTATCAACAAATACCTCTGGCAATCCGTTTCTAATAAGTATTTCATGTTTTCTTACTGAAAATCAATTTATCCTTTGTGTGAATTCCTTTAGCTCTACCGAAAGCGACTTTAAACAACATTGCGTCTTTACTTCAATGGAATGAAAATGTTCAATTCCAAGGGTTGCCTAAACCATGTTTGGGCCCAAACAACACAAGTCAAACAGGAACATCAAGCGGTATGCGATGAACTGCAGAAAAACATTGAACTTGTTCTTTAAAAATCATTTCCCTTTTATCGGTCTGATTTTCACCGTTGTTACGTTATAGTATGCCTATTCCCGAGCCGGGTATATGTTGATGCCCACAATTCTATCTAGAAGTTTGCTCCCTACGTTCTGCCGAAATGATCTTCTGGATGGCTTTTGTCTGCGACGGTCAAAATGTCATGTACGTGCCACTGGTACAAAGTCGTTTTTTCGGTCATGCTAACACCCATTGCAGAGTCGCCATAAAAATTTGTCTAGCATAAGATCCGGCAGACACTCCGCCGGAACACAATCATTTGTTTGTTTGTCTCTGAAAGGAATGATATACTGGTAGCAGAGAGTAGATAATCAAAATATGGATTTTTAGCCGTGTGTCGCTACTATCAAAATATGTTATATCATAGAGGAAAGCTTCACAGCAAACCAGAATTCCTTGATATAGATACAGTTGAGCGAGGGAAGCGTGAAACGTTCCAGTAGACACAAGGGTGATGATTGCAAATCATACGAGAAAGTTATGCAAGAGATCTCATCACTATAAAAGTGATAACATTTAGGACTTAGGAGCTTTGTACCCTGGTGCTGGTGTAGACCTTACTATCTCCACGAGTCTGGTGTGGTAACCGGACGAGCAATGCCGAGGTTCGGCGTATAGTTTCAGGTAATCGCGGTCATCCACTGAAGTAGGTAGTCGACCTCCTGGTTGGGACATGTGCTACGCATGTCACCAGATGGGTTGCCACGGCGAGCGATGTTTGCCGAGGCAAGCAGCGGATAGAAGAGAGTCAAGGGTGGTCAAACTAAGACCTGGCTTGAGGCTATGAAACCTCAGACTGTCACATAGGTCGCGTTAGGCTCCTTGGATGGGAACCCCGAGCTCATGGTCTGCGGTGGTTACAGATACTGAGTGATATGACTGGGTGTCGCAAGCAGTGGTGCTCATGCATCTACTCATTATTCTTGTTACTTCCTGTCTATGTAAATGCGCTATCTTCTGGTTGAATCTGTTCTCAACATTCTAATCATCATTCTGCTGTTTTATCCAAATGGGCAACCAAAACCCGCGCACGAAAGTGCATGGTTGATGGCTGTACGAACTGAACGAGAAACGGTTTTCCGTTTGAACAGCGACCTCTGCTTCTCTCTACTGACCCCTACCCACGTTTGATCCACTGATGCCCATATTGTTTCATTTAGTCGCCGTTAGCTTTCTTACGTATACAAAACATGATGGGTAACAGACTTCTAATTTCTACGTTTTCAATTCTGACCAGTTAACTTTTTATCATTAATTGATACTGAAGTTTGAATTTGCCTAATTATAAAAGTTTAAACTTAACTGCGTGATACAGAAAGAATATCACGAGAAATTTCTTTGCCGTGGTTCTAACTCATGACCATCGGTAAAGAGCACAAATTGTCCAATGGCAATAACGCTTTTGATTTGAACTGACCATCCTCCAGGTTCACCTTCAATCCGCAGTCTTTTCAGTCGACCATACACTCGGAAGCACTGGACTCGAGTTTCAGTCTCTTTAGAGCTCATCAGTAGTTCATATTTACCGCTCCGCAAGGGCTTTGCATACCAGACCCATTGCATGAAAGGTGTGTTACCACTGTGCCAACTAAATGATTGCAGGACCGAACCGAATTGTCAATTCATGTTTATTTTGGTATCGTCTTCAATGATAGTCAGTCAGTCAGTTCATTTTAGTCTGATAGCAACGAAGGGAGACACAATTGACTATCTGTTAACTCCCATCGAAAGCCTCCCCCTAAGTCAGGTCTTCCGTGCTGACTTGCTACAAACCTACTAGGCTGCAGCAATTATTTTCACATTTAACCCCTACTTACTTGTGAGTAATTGTTTTGGATAATTGACATTGATTTGAACTGGTCAATCCTTGCATGTGTAGCATTTGATTTCCCTCACTCGTAATTGGAAGAACTGATGCCTGAAGTATGTTAGAATGCTGATCCCATGGAATGCGCGGTGTGGACGGCCCAAAGCTATAGAACGTACTTTTATGCTCTGTCTCATTTTCGTTTTTACTTATGGGCTTGATGCGTTAACCTGGTTTCATTTACCATTTACAGGTCAACATTATGCTTTCCTCTAAAGTAATCAATGTCCGAAAATGACTGACCGAAACACTGGGATTCTCTGCATCTTTTGCCATTACCTGGAACTGCTGCAAACATGCAAGTTGCCTACAGTTGTTGACTGGTCTGGTGAATTTCTGAAGTCTGTCTTAGATTCAGTCACTCATTTTCAAGAGGTGATTCGCATTCTTTAATCTAGCTGTTCAATTGTAGATAGTGAAATCACTACATGATGATGAAGTGAATGCGTTGTCATTGATTCTACCTCAGCTTCATTCTGCCTATAATCATTTGCCTGCTCTCAAATTGGGGGTTAATGAACTTCGCAACGCGTTGTCCGTTTTCATCGAGGTAAGTTGACCTGCTTTGTAATCTTTGTGATGATGGGGTTCTGTGCTTCAATTTTCAATCATCCTGAAACACGTGGTAAAAGACTGATAAATTTCAGCTATTCTGCTTAATTTTTATTGATGTTAGTGGTAGTCAAGCGGTTTAAAGTCGCTATCACTGGCGTGCTTAGGGTTCTAAGTTTCAGGGTTCTAACTCTGTCACTGCCATCCACCTTTAACGGTAGTCAGCTTCACTGTCGTCTAGCTCACTGCGACATTGAAACACGCCATTCCGGGTCCCAGAGTTAATGAATCGAATCATTTTTGCTGTTCAGCATGCATTGATGTGTAATAAAAACTACCTATTAAATATCATATGAATTCACTTGAATTTCCGTTGGATGCCCCCCCCCCATTGTAAGGTTTTGATACTCTATACAATGATGCAGCTATGGCGCATTTGTGGGATCACACACCATCCCCCGCATTTGATGTGACTCACGAAGTCGCATGTAATGTTCGGTCCCGTATTGTGGGATCAGAAGGTTATCAAACAAACACACCACCTATTGTTGGATGTCATTTATTTAAGAGGAATAAATCACTTCCACGAGATAAGAATGGTAGTCGGATGCCTGATGCTCCACTGGACGAAAGCAAACCGGCACACCACTAACATATGCTTCCCATTGCAAATCCACCGGTTGCGACTCAGGTTCTCAGTAGATCCTTGCGGCTAATGGGTTCAGTTTGCGTTAAATAGAGATGCTTTTACTGGGAAAGACCACTTTCATATGCATCAACCGGTTCGAAATACAATTTCGACCGCGCTTATACAAATTTGATCAAGTTTCTTCTGTCATTGCATCTGGTTATCTTGTATACTGACTCCGGCATTGTTTTCACATAGAACATTGCGAGCAATCCTCATCTGTCAGAAACTCATCGTCGTACCATCCTTGAACACTGTCTGGACCATTCGATTGAGGTATTTGACATACTGGTGATGAAGTTCGATTCTCAGGTACCGAAATTCGTGGCTGTTCCGGAATTTGCCATCCGGATTCCACCAACCGTCTTAACTGTTATCGAATCTCGTCTTTTCGCTCGACACTTGATTGCACTGGTGGACAATCAAGAACGACTTTTTGCATTTCTTGATTCCTGTTTCACGCTTAATTCGGACTACCTTATTCGACTTCTGATCGCACTGTTTGAATTGGTGACTCCCACTGACAAAGTGGCCGCGCACGCTACACAGTGGTTCACTCAGGCCCTCGCTAATGATGATCGGGTGTAAGTGACTGCTGTTCAATGGTCCTCATTTGTTCAATCTCGCATATGTTATACTTTGTCAATGAGGTTTATCGGTCACTATTTAACCGCGGAATGTTTCGTGAGGTAATGTTCTGCCAGTGTGTGTGTGTGTGTGTGCATTCAACGCTTAAGTCAAATCAAGTTCTACTTATTGTTCTTTCATGCAGAACCGAACTGTAACCTAACAAGCGGCACATCTAGTGTGGTGACCATAACTATCTGTGACCGAGGAACAGCAGCTAGCACCTTTCAATAACAACCGAAAATCTCTAGCCCGTTGAGTAGAGGCATACGTATTCCAACTAATGCCACAAAAAGACTGTAGGCTCACGCCAACAGCACAAGCATGTGGTTGTCCTTGCCAACAAATGATATGAATGAATCTTGTTACGTCCAGCGTAGCATCCTTACAGTTTTTTAAGATTACAGTGTATGAACTACTCAAAAATCTCTATCGGGTCCCTATCGTTTCACCACTCCCCTGCCCCACTATCCTGAGTGTTATAGAGTAAGTGTTGTCATGGTTCCCTATTCAGTGCCATCAGTTTCTCATGTCACAAACAATGTAACTCTCTAAGGAGCGTTCGAACAGTTGAGCAATTTGCTCAATAATTTGTTTTGGAATGCACTCTGAAGCCAATTTTGTTCGAAATCTGTTGGTTTTCTGAGGCGTGTCACACTGACTTCATCTTAATCGTAGGAACACACTCATCATCAGCCCCTACAGCCCACTCTGCTTCTTTGGACAATCAAATATCCGCAGTAGATGGCCGAACTGAATTAAGATAACGGTATGACCCGGCAAGCCTGGGACCGTGAGCCCAAGGGACACGCGATAGGACAGCCCCGCGAGTAGAAACCGGAACAACCTATTGCGGTACCCAACGCCATTCTCAGGAGAATCGGAAGAAGAAAAACCGCTGAAGTAGTACAATCCCCGAAACCCGTCCAAGAATAACACGGAAGGCAGATCTTCAGACGAGGTTATATATTTGGCTCAACCCGAAGGCAATGGTAGTTAACATCTCATCTGCTTATATATATTTTTTCATGGACGGCCATCGGTGACCTTGGAAATTAGCTCAAAGGTCCAAAGTTATAGGGAATTCGATCAGCCAGGATGGGCATGTTCGGCAGTGTAGAATGAAACGTTTCCGGCTCGAAAATTTGGCAATTCAAATTTTATAAAAATAAAAAAGACAAGAAAAAGGAAAGGAAAATAGTCGCTTCTGGAGGGAGACATGGGCTTTCCTCTATCGGAATGCTCACTGCCACTTACATACCTTAGGCTAAAGGGATCCGGTGTACAGGTTGTGCAGCCATTAACCATGCATGCTCGCCTGAGATCGGTTTACTTGTTCGCTACGTGGGCTACGGTTCCGAAAGCATTCCATTCAACTTATGATCGCTAGCGTAATTGCGTGCAACTTCAAAATAGCTATTTATGGGTTTTTGGTAGTGGTAGCTTGACACGCTATCGGATACGTTAATCATGCTATCCCTAACACTGAAATGCACTTTCACTAAAGTACTACTCATGTGTCTTGCAATTCCTTACCGGTCCCTTTCTTTGTTCATTCTAGACGAATCATTCTATCCAAGCAAGATCCCGTTCGTGTTCGTGAGCTGTGCATTCGTCATCCACGGTTATTGGAGCTATTCCTGCCAATTTCAGACGAGAAAATTCCTATCCGAAAATATTTTTTTGATTGAGATCTAATGTGTTATACAGTGCGAATTACGCACACCGCACTATTTGTATATTACTTTCCCTCGGAGTATGCTTTTCTTTATTTCCCCTCGAATTACTCATATGAAACTTGTACTTCCACACCTGCGCTACCTTAGTGAGTTCCATCAATTCTCCTGTTGTACCTAATGTCCGTTGACCAAGTCTATGCTCACCGCTTTGGTTCAGCTTAAGTACAACAGACGCGTTTGTGTGTATAGGCCAACGAATATCGTCCCTATATGAAGTGTAGCGTAGGACTGTCAAGAGACCGCTCCATGAGTTACACTGAGAGACCACATGCTACTGAAATAGCGTAACATTAGACAGGATAACGTCAGTTATACTCACCAACAGAGTGCACTTGCGATTACGAGCCAGATACATTCACTGGATGCATAAGGCGAAGGGACAGTTTCGAACGGTGAACCGATAACCAACATACCGGCGAACTATGCACAGGACTGAAAGGACTTACGTAACAAGTCTGTGGGGAGCTCCTACACGGCGCTCCGGTCACCTTGTCGAATGAGGTTTATGTCGCACTGTCGTGGTCTCCGTTTGAAGTTCCCCTCCTCCTCCTCCCCTCCCCCCCAAAAAAAAAACAAT